TATATATGTATATAAACTGATTAAATGAAACGCCCGAACTTACATATTCCCCCATTCACTTTTACTTGTCCATTACACAAAAAAAATATGTTTTCACTTGTATTTGTCCATTTTAGCAAATAAAGAGACGATTTTTTTTTCATGTTTTACCTCAATCATTAAATATTTCATTCCCCAAATCATTTTTTAAGATATTTTGAAATGCTATCATTACTATGGGTATTATGATAAAATGTGTATTTTATTTATTATTTTTTAAGTGTTGGTCCAAGTGAAGTTTGTTTTGATGATTGATAAAGGAACTCAAGCATGAACCAGGTTCATACACAGTGAACACAGATACGGGCAGACTACAAGCACAAGGCATGCACGTGAAGGACATAAGCTTAAGTGGTTATATGTAATATCTCCTGAACGAAAAAGTTGCATAATTGATAAGGAGAAGGACTACTTACTCGAAGAGAACACTATCCAAGATAAGGGAGGAGTTAGAAGTTGCAGATAACTAGAACTCTTCCACCAAGGAAGGGTATAGTATTGGAACTCTAGTTATTTTCTATTTTACTAACTCTATAAATTGCAGGATGTTTTTATTTTTACAGGTATACACAAACACTGAAGTTAAACGTGAGTTGAGAGCAAAATAGCAAGGCATTTTGCAAGCAATTCTTGTGTGATTCAAGTGTGCGAACCTGAAGCTACATGAACCAGATAGAAGAACCAGTTCCAAGTGTCTGTCTTTTATTCTAGTTTAATTGTAGTAGGGCTTTTCAAATTGTACCTTTCAGCTTTATTTTAGAAGCAATTGTATTAGGTACTCTGAGTATTGTATTCAAGTTAGAGTTAACTTGAAGTTGTCGCAACATTTAGAGGCTAGTTGCCACAACGGGATTAGAAGTAATCCTTAGGTTTACAAAGAATTTTGTAAATGTTGTTTTGGCTCAGCGATTTAGTGAAGTGTTGGGGAAAATCCTACTAAGTAGTAGGTCGTGATTTTTTTACCTTTTGAGCCGGGTGTTTTTCACGTAAAAATACTTGTGTTCTTTACTTTTCGCATTTACTATTTTCGCAACAGTAGTATAAGGAACACATAGAAGAACCAAGTTCTTCTATTATCTATGCACGCGAAATATTGAACACCACACAAATCCCCTCTTGTGTGGTATTGAAGTATAAAATATCAATTGGTATCATAGCAGATTATACTTGAAAAGGCTAACACCTTAGAAGAAGATCAAGATGAGTGCACCATCTGGAAACTGGGAAGGGTAATCCACTGCTAGGTCACCACTCTTTAATGGCCAGAACTACTCTTAGTGGAAAAACATGATGAGAGATCACATTATAGGAGAGGACTATGAGCTATGGGACATTGTCACTGATTGTCCACTAGCTACTCTGAAGAAAAATGCTGAAGGGGTAGATGTGCCAAAAACAAGAGCAGATTGCACTACTGAGGACTTGAAGAAATGGGAGAAAAATGCTAAAGCCAAAAAATGGATTGTTTGTGGACTTGGTCTAAATGAGTACAGCAGAATCCAAAGTTGTACCACTGCTAAGCAAATTTGGGACACATTGCAAATGGCTCATGAAGGTACACCTCAGGTGAAGAGATCCAAAGGAACTCTACTGTATTCTCAGTATGGGAACTTTGCTATGAAGGAAGGATAAACCATTTAAGAAATGTACACAAGTTTCACTACACTAACAAATGAGCTAAAATCTTTTGGAATGATTATTTCTGAAGAAGATAGAGTCGAGAAGATACTGACTAGGGTTTTGCCCATCACTTGGGAGAGAAAAATCACTGCCATCCAGGAATCAAAGATTATTGCCACTCTCCTAATGGATGAATTAATTGGTAATCTCACTGCCTATGAACTTAGGAGATAAACCATGAAAATGGATGTACTTAAGAAGGAAAGGAGCTTGGCACTCAGGATCACTAAAGGTTCATATCTGGAAGATGAGGAAATGCCTATAATCACCAAGGACTTCAAGTAGTACTTAAGGAGAGGAAAGGGTTCTTTAAGAAGTGGAAGCAATAGCAAGTCAGAAGCTCCTGAGAAGTAAACCAATGATGGCTGCTACAAGTGTAGAAAGACTGATCACCACATCAAGAATTGTCCTTTGTGGGAAAATGAATGGAAGAAGGAAAGAGCTGAATGAAGGAACAGGAAGAAGGAACAAGTTCAACCCAAGAAAAGCAACAACAAAGGAACAACCAAGGCTTTGGTTGCTGCTTGGGGAGAAAGCTCAGATGATGATGATGAGGATGAACAAGCACTTATGGCCATTGGAGAATCTGATGAAGAAACTGAGGTAAGTGTCCTTCATCTCAAAGAAAAGATTAAATTATTGTCTAAAGAACGATTATCTAAGTTACTACTAGAACTAATTAATGAATCTAAGGATGTAAACAACAAAAAAGAACAACTGTCTAAACAATGTACAATTTTGAAGGCTAAGTGCAAAAACCTAAAACTTAAGGTTAGTGAAACTGTAAGTGAAAATACTATGTTGAAGAACTAGGTGCATGCACTTGACTCAACTGTCCTAGAGCTTAGATCTAAAAATCTAACATTGCTGAAGGTATGGTCATAAATGAGGCCTTTCAAGTCGCCGCTTTCATTGAGAAATTACCTCCGTTGTGGAAAGATTTTAAGAACTATCTAAAACACAAGCGGAAGGAGATGACACTTGAAGACTCGATTGTGCGTTTGAGGATAGAAGAAGACAACAAAAATGCTGAAAAGAAGTCACGTGGGAACTCGACAATAATGGGGGCTAACATTGTTGAGGAGGCGCCATAAACTAAGAAGAGAAAGAAGGCTTCTGGACCAAAGAACTACCCAAGCAAGAAGAAGTTCAAGGGTAATTGCCACAACTGTGGAAAATCTGGGCATAAGGTTGTGGATTGTCGTGCACCAAAGAATGATAAGAAGAAGAAGAATCAAGCTAACATGGTTGAAAAAGCTGAAGAAATGGAGGACTTGTGTGCCATGTTGTCTGAATGCAACTTGGTAGGAAATCCTAAAGAATGGTGGATAGATTCTGGAGCCACCCGCCATGTTTGTGCTAACAAGGAGTTATTTTCTTCTTATGCCCCCGCAGGACCCGACGAGACAATTTTCATGGGAAATTCGTCTACATCCAAAATTGAAGGAGTTGGCAAGATTGCGTTGAAGATGACGTCGGGAAAAATAGTGACTCTAAACCAAGTTCTCCATGTTCCAGAAATTCGCAAGAATCTTGTGTCGACTTCACTTCTTGTCAAGAATGGATTCAAATGTATTTTTGTTTCCAATAGTGTTGTACTAAGTAAGAATGATATGTATGTAGGAAAGGTTACCTGAATGAGGGCCTTTTTAAGCTAAATGTAATAGCAGTTCCTATCAATAAAGTGAATGCTTCTTCTTACTTACTTGAGTCAAACACTTTATGGCATTCGCGTTTAGGACACGTCAACTTCAAAACATTGCGAAAGATGATAAATTTAGAAGTATTGCCAAAATTTGATTGCATTAATTCCAAATGTCAAATATGTGTGGAATCAAAGTATGCTAAGCATCCTTATAAGTCCGTTGAAAGGAATTCAAGTCCTTTAGACTTAATTCACACAGATATTTGTGACATGAAGTCAACACCATCTCGCGGTGGGAAAAAGTATTTTATTACTTTTATTGACGATAGCACGAGATATTGCTATGTTTATTTACTTAATAGTAAAGATGAGGCAATTGATGCTTTCAAGCAATACAAGAGTGAAGT